TCCCACCATGGAGTTGATTGCCAGTCTCATCATGGGGAATAATTACCACCAGCTGCCCAGCCACTCAACCAGGCCCAGCCAAGTTGACAAACAAACATAACCACCACGGCAACTCTCTAGTGACTAATAAGTTACTTGTTAGATATGTTGTTGCCAAATATTTTTTCCCAACCTGTAGGATTTTCCTGCAAACGGGGGTCTAGTTTTGCCAGCAACATTTGTTAAACTATCTTTTCTCGATTGAATGAATTTCAGCCCTTTTTCAAAGATCAGCTGACCATAGTTTGATGGATCTATTTCTGGGTTCTCAATTCTGTTCCACTGGTCTATGTGTCTGTCCTTGTAAAAATACCAGGCAGTTCAGACTACTGTCGCTTAATAGTAGGATTTGAGATCTGGGAGTATGAGACCTCCTACTTTGTTCTTCTTCAGTGTTATTGTTGTCATTAATTATAACAACAACATAATTATAACAACATAATTATAAAATTAGTGATTGGTTTTTCCATGTCCTTATGAGCCACTCCTCTGAGGGAAGACTGGGCAATCTACTTCTGTAGAGACACTGCCTTGGAAACCCAAGGATTGGTCGCTATGAGTTGGATCTGACTCAATGGCAGTGAGTTTGCTTTTTTTTGTTGTTTTTTGAAAGAATGTTGATGGAATCTGGATCAGAATTTTGAAGCCAGAATTTAAATAAGTATGTGATATTTTCCCCCAGCATAATAAAACAAATCAATGTTTATTTTAATTTTATGAGTCTTTTAATTGCCAAGTAATATGAAACAGAGGTACTCATTCTGCTTCTGAGCCTCAACCCCAAGCCACCAATCAGGGCTAAGATGGAAGTAGAGGATGGAGTTATGCTCAGGAATAGTCTAACAGTCAGAGATAGAATAAATGGAAACAATATACCTGTTCTGGTTACCTAGTACCACTCTGACAGGAATATACCACAGATGGGATGGCTTAAACAAAGAGGAGTTTACTCTTAAATTTTGGAAGCTTTAAGTCCAGGATCAAAGTGTCAGGCTCTAGGGGCTGGGTGAAAGCCCCTCAGCCTTGGCGTCCAGCTCTGCCTCCTGCTCCTGGCCCATTGGAGCTAGAGGCTTTCTTCACTCAGACAGCTCCTGGCTGCTGAGGCTGAGAAGCCCAAGGCTGACAAGTAAAAAGGCACAGTCCCGATGTTACCAAAC